CTCAGTGGCTACAAAAGTAGGTCAGAAGCCGGAAATACTGCAGCAAGTAACTCACCTCCTGACTCCCCAAAGCCTGTCCACCATCTACAAGGCACAGGTCAGGAATGTGATAGAATACTTCCTACTTGTCTGGATGGGTGCAACTCCAAAACCACTCAAGAAACTTGATACTGTCCAGGATGAACCAGCCTGCTTGATTAACAGTACATCCACAAGCATCCACTCCCTCCTGCACCAATGCTCAGCAGCAGTGTGTATGATCTACAGGATGCACTGCAGAAATACACCAAAGATCCTCAGACAGCACTTTCCAAAACCCATGATCACCTCCATCTGGAAGGACAAAGGCACCAGATACATGGGTTCACGACCACCACCAAGCTCCCCTCCAAGCTATTCACCATTCTGATGTGGAAATATATCACCATTCTTTCACTGTTGCTGGGTCAAAACTCTGATATTCTTTCCCAAATTACATTGTGAGTCAACCCACAGCATGTGGACTGCAGCAGTTCAAGATGGCAGCTCACCACCACCTTCTTAAGGCCTACTTGGGATGGGCAATAAATGCTTAGCCAGCCAGTGACACCCACATCCCATAGAAATTAATAATAAAGGTTAGAACATCTCACAACATGGTCATCGCTAAATAACAACTTTGTATCCAAGGTTCTGGACATTAATCCTTTGTTTTTCATTCAGTATGGGATATGGCTGTCGCTGGCTGGCCAGCATTTCTTGCCCATCCTTAGTTGGCCTTGAGAAGGTGGTGGTGAGCTGCCTTCTTGAACCGCTGCAGTCCATGTGCTGTAGGTAGATCCACAAAGCCAATACTGTCTTTTAATGTGCAGTTGTCAAGTTCCAGAAAATAATCAGTGAGATATAGGACAAAGTAAACTGAAATGCTAAGACTCTCACCTTGCGTAAAAGCCTTATTATATTGTTCTTTTGGCTCTTATTTCCGCCCCTAATGCTTTAGTCATCACATCCCTTGTTGCTATATCTATTATATAAATAACTGTTGTTACATTTTGTTCCCCAACAATACTATATTCCAATCAATGTAAAAGACCTGGCTCTCGACAAACTCTGTACCCTTTTAGTTCCCTATGTTTATCTTGAGCACAGAATCTTTGTATCCTATTGCACTTAATTCTTCGAATCATCCAATTCATGTACTTTTCATACCAGAAACAAAAGGAAATGTCTTTTTCATTCTTCTGCTTTTCACTGCAGGTAAAATAGTCTAAAAATGCTTTTAAAACTAAAATCACAACACGTAGACAGCAGAGGAATTAAAAACTAATTAATACTAACATATTTTCTGTGATAAAATTGGTAATGATTTGACCATCTTTTTACTACACTCTTAAAAATAACAGGTCTATGTCCTGGCTGGTTATAAAATGTGAGAAATATTTGCATAAGCATGGCTGACCAGATGAACAAAGCAACATTGTCACAAATGGCTATGATTACCACCACCTAACTGAGGTTATTTGTGATATGTGGTTGGCCACATTTTCAGTTTACAACATGAGAAGTAGATTCACAAAATATTTCATTTTAATAAGCATTTCTAGTTCTCAGAAGTTGCCATTCAGTCATTATGTTGTCACATCTGTGGAAATACAACTTGACTTTGACCAGTATGCTCCTTCAAGGAGCTGCCAGAGACGAATCTTTCATTTGATGAGAGTTGGGAAGTCAACAGGGAGAAAAATAACCCTCAATCTGACAGTTTTCTCAAAGCATCAGAGCTTTTGTTGAAAAAATAGAAAAATTATAAATGGAATAGTTAATCATCTGGGTTCTTTTCACTTATAACTACAATTTTTGGTACATGTTAACAGGTCATACATAGAGTTGTCATCCAAGAATATGGACCACAAACATTTCATAGATGAATGCAATTGTTAAGTACTTTAATGTCCCATTCTCTGCTGACTTTGAATGTGCGCATTTATTGTTGATGAAATGCTACAGTTAATGTTATTCTTCCTTTAATAGCCAAGTCAAAGCTGCTATTTTAACACTGTACCATGATTGCCACCTGGAGGTTTATTAGGCAAATGTTATGAGACATGGAAAGTACATATATTTCCATCCCATCTAATCTTCTCACTTCCACTTTCAATATACTTTACAATAAAATAAAGCTTCGTTTGAATTAGAGTAGCATTTTGCTCAAATTTCCCCAAACATGTTCCTGTGTTGCATCACATCAATGAACTGCTGCAGCAGAAGGAGGTTTTTAATTTGTGCTTGGAAAGGTCAGATAGTTTGCATGACAGGAATTGGGTCAGCTTCATTTGTTCAACCCCAAATTGAAATTTGGTAAAATTAACTGAAAGATTGGTATTTAAAAGGAGAGGGCAGTAGGGAAGGAGAATTCCAAGACTGCGAGTAGAATGGATATTTTGATCACACGGTCACTGAAAACGTGTCAGTGTCATCAATAATAGTTGGTGACCCTCAGGTGGATGACAAATTTGAACAGTTCAAATAAAGAGGGGGGTCTGGTAACAGTTTTGTACACCACTGGATTGGTGATCCAGGGGCCTCAGCTGATGCTTTGCCAACATGGTTTCAAATGGCAGCTGGTGGAATTTAAATTCAGTTAACAAACCAAAAAACCTTAGAATTGAAAACTGGTCTCAGTAATAGTGATCATGTTAACCATCATTGATTCTAAACACCCATTTAGTTCCCCAATGACCTTCTGGCTTATGTCTGATTCAAGCACATAGAAATGTGATTGACTCTTTACAGTCCTCTGAAAGGCCTTGCAAGACACTAAGCTCAAGAGCTAAAGGGATGAGCAATGAATGACAGCATTGCCAGCTAAGCACACACCCCGTGAAAGAATATAGATTAAAAAATGGATATAAAGGTAGGTAATGAAATTTAAAATCATTTAATAAATTGGGTGGTAAAAGGATTGCCTAACGTTGACTATAAAACAGTTTTTAATATTTGTAAAAACTCATCTGCTCTTGTAATGCCCTTTAGGGAAGAAAATTTGCCATGTTTACCTGGACGAGTACACACATGAGTACAGACCCACAGCAATGTGGTTATCTGTCAACTCTGAAATGGCCTAATATGACAGTTGTATCAAACTGCTATGAAAATTAATAAAAGGAATGAAATGGGACGGATTACCCAGCACTGACTTAGGCACTGGAAACAATAATGGAAAGCACAGCCCTGCCAAACCTGAAAAGTCTGTCTTGCTAACATCTGGGGACTTGTACCAAAATTGGGACAGCTATCCCACAGAATTGTCATTCAACAAACCAACAGAGTCATATTCATGGAATCATAACTTAAAGCTGATTTGCCAGATACCATCATCACCTGGGTATTCCTGGATATGTGCTGTCCTAGAGCAAACCCACGAGTGGTGACACAGTGATATATAGTTAGTAGGGAGTTGCCTTAGGATTTCTTAACAGTGACTCTTGATCCCATGAAGTATCATGACATCAGGTCAAACATGGGAAAGGAAAACCACCGCTGATGAACACCCATGTCTCACCACCTCCCTCCCCAAAGCCTCCCAGCTCATAAATCAGTACTTCTCCTATTACAGTACTACTTCTCCTACTACAGTACTTCTTGTTGAATACCACTTGGAAGAAGTACTGAAGGTGGCAACAGCACTGCAGTTACTCTGGGTGGCAGACATTAATCATCAGGAGTGGCTCATTCTGTAGCCAATTTGATTCACTCCACATGATAGTAAGAAATGGTCAAAGGCACTGGATACTGCAAAATGTATAGGTCTGATGACATTCTGGCAACAGTACTGATGACCTTTGCTCCAGAACTGTGTCATAAGCTAAGCTATTCCAGTACGGCTATAATATTGTCATCTACCCAGTGGAAAATTTCCCAGGTATGTACTTGCAACAAAAGGCAGGGTAAATCCAACCTGGCCAATTATCATCCCATCATCAACTGTCAAACATCAGGAAAGTGACAGAAGCGGTTGTCTAAAGTACAAGCAAGCAGCAATAGCAATCATCTGCTCCCTGATACTCAGCTCAGATTTCACCAGTGCCACTCAGCTCCTGGCATCATTGCAGATCCAAGCATGGACAAAAGAGCTGAAATCCAGAGCAGAGATGAGATTGACAGCCCTTGACATTAAAGGTAGTGTTGACAGAGTTTAGAATCAAGATGTCCTAACAAAACTGAAGTTAATGGGATGCTGGGAGACAATCTCTACTGGTTAGAGTCATATCTGGCATACAAGCAGATGGTTGTGGTTGTTGCAGACCAATCATCTCAGCCCCAGGACATCTTGCAGGAGTTCTTCAGGGTAGTGTCCTAAGCCCAACAATCACCAGCTGCTTCATCAAAGACCTTCCCTCCATCATAAAGGTCAGAATTGGGAGTGTTCACTGTACAATGTTCAGTACCATTCGTGATTTCTCAGATACAGAACCAGCCTGTGTATTTTTACAGCAAGACCTGGACAATGTGCAGGCTTGGGCAGATAAGTGGCAAGAAATATATGCTCCAAACAAGTACCAGGCAATGACAATCTCAAACAATACAGAATTTAACCATTGGCCCTTAGATGTTTAATGGTATTGCCTTTGCCGATTTGGCAGTTCATGCTGCAAGATTATGTAGAGCATGATGGGGAGACAGTACAATTGATTGGAAGTGGTAATAGTAAGGAAGTTGCTGTGGGTTACGTTGCCTGAGAGCCTCTCATTTCCACCTCTGCTAAATCCAGCTTGCAGTAGTTATTGGCTCCTTTCCTCAGCATATTATTTACTAAATTCCACCTAAATGGGAGAGAAGCACAAACAGATAATGTAAAACAAAAAGCAGTGGCAGAAAGGGAGACGTAAGGGAAAGAAAGCAAAATGAAGACGTCAGAAACAGGCAACAAATGTCAAAATCATCTATGACTTATGTGGAATGCATTTGAGACTGATCCACTATGTTTAAGAAGGAAACTACTTTGGATTCACAACATGTAATAAAATGGAATGTATCATTTAATATACTTCATTAACATTACAGAACACCTGTAGTCCACTTCAATCACAAAAATAACTTAATTACATTTCTAGGTGCTGTGTAAAGACTGCTTTTATCTTAATTTCATTTTTTAAAATAAATACATTTATGGATGTAACATGAGACAAAATAAAACATTATAAAGCAGCATTATTTCGAGAAACATCCTTTAAATTTGAAATGTAAATAAGACCACTATATACAAGTAATTAAGGAGACAAATACACTTTTGTTTCAGACAGCCATCTTGTTGGCTAACACTTTGGCAACACTGAGCAGAATGAAATAAATGAAATACAAACACAGCTAACTGGATTTTATTTAAAATTCTCATTTCATCTTGCTCTTTCACCAGTCTCTTAATTTGCTCGATCCTTCATATTTTGGCTTCTTCATCACTGTAACTCCATCATTCTGTATTTTTTAAGACACTAAACAATGTATCTTGATCAAAAGTAGTATGCAAAAATACAGAACAGTTCAATCAATGATTATTCTTCATAATTATGTAGTGCAGCAATTTTTCATGGCCAACTTCTTGTTCAAGTGTGTGCTGGACAAACTAGTTACAGAGTCCTCGTCTGTTTTTTCATCTGCTCTTTTCCTCACTTCCCTGTGGGGTGGAATTGACAGTGAATGTAAACAACAGAGTAGATATATCAAATGTAGTTAAAGTTATGATAACACTAATTTACAGTGAAAGGCATTAAGTTTGTAATTATTGTGCATTATAAGGGTGAAGGAAAACATTATATTGGTTTCAATGATAGTTCTGAGATTGGAGCTATGGCGTAATACCACAATAACCAAAAAGTAGGACAATCTTTGTTCTGTATCTAATTATGCTACACTTAAACTGTCAGTGACTAATCTTTATTCTGGGTGCCTAAAAGGGAAATGCATTCCTGTCCACAACACAAATATTCTATGCCTCAATAAGCACAGAAGAAAATCCTTCGGATAGATAGCCAATTGCCAAGTGACTACCATTGTCATTTAACTCTTACTCAGAAATGTGGTATAACCAAAAAAAAGCAGAAAAGTCTTAAAACATAATGTACTTTAAGAAATGTTTTCATTCAACATGCAACTTGGTGAAACTTAGATCAGGGTCAGGAGATCTACAATGGCACGTGCTTAAAAAAATGCATTCACAAAGTTAGCTTATGTTACTGTTAGCAATTTCTGCACGAGACCATACAAACCAGAAAGTCTTAATTTCAATCTTCACTCTGTTCTAAGTTCTCAGCTAGAGAAGTACTACAAATAACTTCAGCAGTCTTGAATCAAAGACACAGCAAACATAAGTTCTTGAGATTGAATACTTTCCAGAAGCCCATATCAGAAAATCCAGGCCTGTTGATATGGAGTGAAAAATGTTGAGCTAGATGATGCTGCTTTAGTGGTCGAGAGCTTGTCAAAACTCTTGCATATATCTCGAGCCAAGAATGAATTAGAGGAGGCAGTAGCATCATGGTAACGTCACTGGCTGAAGAATCTGGAATCCAGACTGATGGTCTAGGGTCATAGTCCCAGACATTTACAGCATGGAAGGAGGCCATGTGGCTCAACATGCCTGTACCAGTCAACAAAGACATGACTACACTCATCCGATTTCCAGCTTTTGGCCCATAACCCTGGAAGCTTTGCCAACAGAACTGAATATTTAAATATTGCTTAAAAGTTCCAGGAGTTTCTGACTCAACCACCCTTTCGGACAATGAGTTCCAGACTCTTGTCATACTCTGGTTGAAAAATTCTGCTCTTGCATTCTACCTCTTAACTTGAATCTATGCCCACTCATTACTGACCTGCTACTAATGGAAAAAGAAGTGCCTTGCTATCCACACACTCTGCACCCCTCAATCTTACACACCTCTATCAGGTCCCCTCTCAATCTTCACGACTCCAAGGAAAACAACCCCAGTCAATCCAACCTTTCCTTGTAACTGAGATCCTCCAGCCCAGGCATATCTTGGTAAATCTCTTCTGCATCATCTATAATGCAATCACATTCTTCCTGTAATGTGGTGGCCAAAACAACATGCGGTACTCCAGTGACGTGACTGGCATTTTAGATAGTTTCAGCATAACCTCCTTATTCTTGTACTCTGTGCCTCAACTAATAAAAGCAAGTATCCCACATGCCTTCTTAATCGCCTTATCCACCAGCCCTGCTACTTTCAGAGATCTATGGATATACACACTAAGGTCCCTCTGACCCATCTGAATCGGTCCTACCATTCATACTGTGATTCCTTGCCTTGTTAGCCCTCCAGCAAGACTTCACTTCTCTGCGATGAATTCCATTTGCCATTGTTCTGCACAGCTGATCAGTTTAATGATTCCCTTCTGCAGTTCATGCTATCCTTCTCATTATTTAGCACCTGATCAATTTTTGTGACATCTGCGAACTTCTTGATCATATCTGTGCATTTATATCCAAATCATTAATGTGCATAACCAACTGCAAGGGCCCCAACACTGAGCTCTGCTGAACCCCACTAAAAACAGACTTCCAGTCACTGAAATCTCTCTACCATCATCTTCTGCTTCCTGCTTCTCAGCCAATTTTGGATCCAATGTGCTACTTTGCCTTGAATTCATGGGCTCCTACTTTTTTCACTAGCCTGCCATTAGGGACTTATCAAAAGCCCTACTAAAGTACATGTAGACCAACATCAAATGCATTACTCTCATCAAAACTCACTGTTAACTTTTTGAAAAAAAAATCAAATTCATCAAAGCCCACTTTCCCTTAACAGATTCATGCTGACTATCCCTGATGAACTTGTCCCTCCAAGTACAGATAGAACTCCGAGGTTCAGAATATTTCTAATGACTTCCCCACCAGAGCTTAGACTGATTGGTCTGTCATTTTTTATTCTTATCTTCAACCCTTTTCTAATAATGGGGCAACATTAGCAGTTCTCCAATCCTCTAGCACCACACTCTATGACCAAAAAGGATCTGAAGGTTACAGCCAGGGCCCTCGATATCTCCTCCCTTGCCTCCCTCAATGGCCATGGGAAACATTTCATCTATGGCTATGAGTGTATTCACTTTTAAAGCTACTAAACCTGTGAGGCCCTCCACTCTCTCACTGTGTTAACTTTTTTTCGTATTTCAGTGTTCCACATTGATGTTTATAGTTGCACCATCCTTTTCAATTGTGAATACTGACGTAAAGTGTTCATCAAGAACTGTACTCACATTTCCCAGGTCCACACACAGATTACCTTTATGGTTCCTAGTGGGCCTGATTCTTTGTCTAGTTATTCTCTCACACTTCATATATTTAAAAAACCCTTTCTTATGCACTCTCTTAGCTTTTCTAATTCCCTTTTCAAGTTACTCCCCATTACTATAAGATTCTTTTTATCCCCCCCAATCCCAACCTTTATGTCCCTTGACATCCAGGGTTTTCTGGACTTAGTTACACCCTTTGTGTTTATGTAAACATCTTTGCCCTGTACTCTCACCATTTCTTTCTTGATTGCCTCCCACTGCTCTGACACAGTTTTATCTGCAAGTAGCTGCTCACAGTCAGCATTTACCAATCACATCTTACCTTAACTTTTCCCTAATTTATTCATAGCCTATCATTACCCTGTCCCATAATGATCCTAAATCTAATTGACTTATGGTCAAAACCTCCAAAATGTCCTGTTACTGATACAATTTACACCCGCCCCGTTCATTTCAGAATATTAGGTTCAAAACTGCTCACCTCTCTGGTTGGGCTTTCCACATTTCAGCTAAAAAATATTCACTTGCATGCATATTAAGAATTTTGCTCCCACCCAATGTTGTACACGTGAACCATGCCTGTTAATATATGGGTAGTTAAAATCCCTTACTGTTACTCCATATAATACACACCAAACAACATTTCCCCCTTTTTGTTTTCTTTACTTCTACCTCATTTAATGATCCTTCCAAGACATCATCCTTCCTCACTTGTACAATTGATTCTTTGATCAACGTTATGACTGCCACCACCCCTAATTCTAATCCTCCTGCTAAACCTCCCCAGCAGTATTAGCAACTTCTCCATGAGGATACTGGTCTTGTTCCTGTTTAGATTTAACCCATTCACCTCGTACAGATCCCACCTCCCCAAAAACCAACTCCACTGAATGGTTGTGAACCATGAGTCATGGAAAAGCCAGCCTGACTGCATCAAAACCATGGGGATCTGGGCAAGATCAACCTCGCAATGGTATCGGCCAGGCTTTCTAACTGCACGCTTATCTTGCACTATTGTACATTGTTGCAATTGAGTCTTGACTGCAGTTTTCAAATGGCCTTGGAGTCTTTCGAATGGAATGAAAATCTATACCTAAGGTATACCTTACAAACCAAACAATCTTTCTTCGAAGTTTTCAAGAAGATTTGTAGCCTGGGATGTGGACGAGGTTGTAGACATGCTCGCTGAGCCGATGAGTTTGATTGCAAATGTTTCATTACCCTGCTAGTTAGCATCGTCAGTGCGCCTCCGGTGAAGTGTCAGTGTTCTGTCCCACTTGTTCTTTATATGCCTCAGTTTGTTGGGGTGTTTGGTACCATTTCCGGTTCTGTTTCTCAGTGGTTTGTACACGTGGTCTAATTCAATGTGTTTGTTGATGGAGTTGCAGTTAGAATACCAGGCCCCAGGAATTCCCTGGTGTGTCTCTGTTTGGCTTGTGCGATTATGGATGTGTCGTCCCAGTCAAATTAGTGTCCCTCATTGTCCGTATGTAGTGAGACAAGTGAGAATTGGTGGCGCAAATTGGTGGCTAGTTGGTGTTCATGCACCTGTATAGTCAGTTTTGTTCTGGTTTGGCCTATGTAGTGTTTCTCACAGTCTTTGCATGGTATTTTGTATATTACACTGGTTTTGCTGGTTTTGGATATGGGATCCTTTAAGTTCATCAGTAGCTGTCGCAGGGTGGTTGTTGGTTTGTGGGCTACCCTGATACCTCAGGGTCTGAGTAGTCTTGTGGTCATCTCTGAAATGTCCTTGATGTACGGTAGGTTGATTAGTGAGTCTGGTTGTGTTATGTCTTTCTGTTGTGGTCTATCTCAGAGGTAACAGCGGATTGTACTTTTCTGGCATCCATTCCTTTTGAAGACTCCATATAGGTGCTCCTGTTCTGCTTTGCATAGTTCCGGGTTGCTGCAGTGTGTTGTGGTTCGTTTAAATAGTGTCCTGATGCAGTTCCGTTTGTGGGCATTGCGGTGGTTGCTAGTGTAATTGAGTATCTGTCTGTATGCGTAGTCTTTCTGTGTACGCTAGTCTGGGGTTCCCCAATGTTTTTGCGTCCTACCATTATGTCCAGGAAGGGTAGTCGGTTGTTGTTCTCTTCTTCTTTTGTGAGTTTAATCGGGTAAGGATGTTGTTTATGTGTTGGTGGGTTTCTTCTAGGTTTGTGCGTTTAATAATTACGAAGGTGTCATCTACATATTGGGCCCAAAGTTTAGGCTGTATAGTGGGGAGCGCTATCCATTCTAACCTTTGCATTACTCATTCTGCAATCAGATATTGGGGATCCCATTGGAGTTCCATTGTTACCTAGCAGGGTGATGAAATGTTTGCAACCAAACCCACTGGCTCGGCGAGTATGTCTACAACCTAATCTTTCTTTAAAAAAAAAAGTCTCCAATGGGAAATTGTCGAGCAAAGGACTCTTTAAATAAAAACATCCTGTTATTATTACTGGAAATGTTTTTCTCCCTCTCTCTTTTGACCATGAACATTTTGGGCCTGAACAGCTCTGAGAATACACAACAATTTGCAAACCTGTCCAGCGCTAAAAATAACTGAACCAGAACAATAATAAATTGGTTTTTAGTAATAGCAAAATTTAACCTCAATCCCATTCACTCAAGCAACTTATACATATTCAGAAAAATAGAGCTGCATGGAGTTCTTCAATACAGTGAGACACAAGATATTCATTCCTATTTACAATTATCTGATACAAACACAGAAATGACAAAAAAAATTCTTCACTTTTTCACATCAATTATTCAGAACATTCAATGTTAAAAATAATTATTTTTTCTATATCTCTACATAACTGAATACATGAATAATCAGAAAACAGCAGGGGAAATTACTATTAAAAGAGTTGAACATAAAGAAGCATGTAGCACAATGGAGCATTATTTTATATTCATTCTCAATTTTGCTGGAGTTCTATTTCTGCCATGACTATGTCGGAACACAATGAGTACAAGGCAAGTACCTTCCTAAAAGGCTGATGGAAAAAGTGCAGGAAGAATTGCTCCAGATCATTCTTGTGCATCTCCTACCAACTACAAATAGAACAGTCATCTGTCTAGCCCCTTTCTCAACACATTCAATGTATTATTTCAGGAAGGTGCCATAAAATGGTAACACCAAAAATTAAAAGTGGGGGTGATTAAATTGAAGAATATGTAATTGAGATTATGCCCAGAGTAACACCACCCCTGCATGACATCAAATTGCCAGATCCCTGTTAAATTACTGCAAGATATTAAATGATTTCATCTTATCCTTTCATAGACAAGAATAGCAGTGTCCAGGTGGTAAATAGTAAATTTTTATTTTAGGTACTGGTATCGCTCTCAATAAATAAGACCTACAAGATATTACAGCTGGATGGCATCCACCTGGATTACGTCAACACTATATACAAACCAAAGTTTAAAATGCAAGACAACATTTCATCGAATGAGAGTAATTCGCTCATTTTACACTCCTCACATTATTCACTGAGGGAGTTTGTTATAAAGTCACATGGCTACTACATGTTATTTCAAACAATTTTTCAATTAATTATTTTGAAATATTAATAGAAACATCATTGAGGTGTATAGAGTTTTGCATTAACTTTCCAGATAAGTAGGGATCCTCACTGGAACTATGATGTGAAATATTATATTTATAGCGGTATAGAACTTAGAATCGCAGTGTTTTTGGTAATAGAACAATGACTATATTATTCTTACTTTGGATTCCTGTAACTGTTCATAAGCAGTGAGGATAGGGAAAATGAATTATCACTGCTTCCTCTCAATATGTGACTACAATGAGCATTACCTTTTGATTGTCTCTGCTCAGCCTCCCAATTCAAACCCACTTGTTAACTTGAGATAGCAATAACTGCAGGTGCTGGAGTCAGAGATATCACAGTGTGGAGCTGGAGGAACACAGAAATTTGCCATTTCTGAAGAAGGGTCCCAATCCGCAACGTCAACTTTCCTGCTCCTCTGATGCTGCCTGGCCTGCTGTGTTCCTCCAGCTCCACACTTTGTTACCACTTGTTAACTTGTAACTTTAGTCCCTAACGCATTAACATCTAGCTTCCACATTGTTCTTAACTAATGAGATACCAAAGAGAAGACTAAATTTGAGAAATTTACATTGGACCAATTAAAACTGTCCTGGTAAATCCCTATCATTTTTATTTGCTCAAGCACATCCAAGCCAAACACTTTAGGTCTCTTTTTACATCACTCTCGATAGAAATTTGTTGCAAAAATCTTCCTTTGCCTCATTACTCACAAAATAAACAGCTCATTAGCCAGAAGAAATAGTCAGAGTTTGACTAGGCTATTATCTGCACATTCTATCAAAGTGCCGTTGATCTTTTCCTCTACCTAATGCATGTTTCCAGGAGCCTACTGATCTAGTTAATAAAATCAATGCTTACCGAGCGAGGTGAAGCACTGCTTCAATAATATTTGAGCCATCTTTGGCACTTGTTTCACAAAACAGTGCATTGTATGTCTGTTAGGAAGCAAAAAAAAATGAAAAAGACTCACTCTTATATTTAATATCCTCAATGAAAAGATTATCATAACAAATAAAAAATAAATCACAGCTTTGACTTTAGACACCCACTCTCCAAATTTAAAACAAAAATATTCTTACTGATTCAGCTAATTGCTTGGCAATACAGCACTCAAACATTGCTAGAAAGAGAGATAAAATTGGAACGTTTTAGTCTTGCACTCCTCAAGACTGACATACAAAACCAAACTTTGAAAGAGGACTCTAATTCAGACCATATCCAGAATCTGCTGATTGGTTGAAATGGAAATACAGCTTGTTCTGTTAATGATCAATCTTAGCTCGCTGATTAAACTCAGGCCAGGTAGATCCACTAACTGATCAAGACATTGCCACAGGAAAGGCAGTTTCCATAATCCTTTCTCAATGAAAAAGGTGCAGAATATGCACAGATTCCTTTTCTTACACAGAGCACGGTCCTGTTTATAAATATTTGTAGTTTCTAACACACCAGTCCAATATAACATTAAACTGGTTTCTGGTGCCATGCTTCGCACAGTCTGGATTATCTGGTAAATGCAACTCAATAGCAGAATCGAATCTAGTGTTGGAGATTATGTCTTGAGTTTTGCAAGCACAGGTTAAGTGAGCAGTCAACAAGCTGCACTCTTTTTACATCAGTCAGTCAAAAGGACATGCAGTCTGCCTAGCCTGAAGCACACAGCTTATGTACTTGGCATCACACTGATGCTGAAATTCATACAGCACATTACTAATCTGTGTAGGAGGCATAATGTCTTTTTGGCTTGATGACAGTAGACTTGTTAGTGGAGAATACTATTCGTGTGTCTACTGCGAAGTAGCATCCTGAGGCTTCACCTGTTGCTCAAATATTTTGATATCTCTTCCCCTCCCTTTCAAAGTTTGGTTTCTTGCAACCCAGTGTTAATGACTGACTCAGTTCTTTGATGCTCACCATGGCCAGTTTCTCCCCATAGCTTGTGGGGACTGACTTCTGCACTTCTTGCGAGGTTCTGTTCCGTAGATCTGCTTTGTTCCCCACCAACATAATGGGAATATTTTCATTGGTTGAATCCTTTAAATTAAGCAAAAATGACTAACATCATCTTACTGTGTGCTTATAATATCGGATAAATTATCACTATATGTTTTCCCTGAATCTCTTCATTTAATACACCTGTTTTTTTTAAATTCTGGTATTGAATGGAACTGGAAACCTAAATAACATATTCATGCTACCAATGCTACATGTAAGTGATGTGATGTTGCTAATATAATAATCCTTTATGTTATGTGACTGTATTATAAATGCAAACTGGAAATTTTGAAATTAACAAACCCTTCTTTCTTTTAGCCTTTACTTTTTATTTTGATTTAGATTCCTTCCAGATAAACCAGCTCTGAAGAAATTCTTATAGACCCAAATCATTTAGCCACTTTAGATGTTGCTCAAGTGCAGTAATATTTACTTTATTCAGTTATAGCTGTTTTTTGCCTTAATTCATCCAAAAGTGCTGACAAATGTTTCTTTCTAAATATAATTTTAAAAATTGAATCATTATCCCCCTGGTGTGGCTTGAATGTTCAATGCTTTGGGAATGCGGGGGTGGGTTAGAGTCTGGCCCTCTAATCCAGAAGCAGATCATAGATGGCCATAAGTGCAGATGAGCACACGAGTGCCAAGTGTGCTGGTTAAAACGTCTACCTAACTCTCACTTATTACCTCCAAGCTTGACTCATATTATCCACCTACCCCTTGCCCTCATGACCTCCTCATGCCATATCAATAGCTATTCATCCAATATTCAGTATGGCTAGATCTATGGAGTCAGGTGGAGATAATAGTAAAATTTAATAGATCTCTCATTCTGACACAAAACTAAACATAATTCTCATTAATGAATTCCAGAATTTTTAAAACACAGTGTAGAATTTGTTATGAAGCCAAATTTCTAGTCAGTAACCACATCAAAAACAGCTAGTCCTTTAATAGTCTCTTTGAGCTGTTGATCAAAATTTGAACTCAGTCACCCTTGCTGGCACAAGTGCTTTTCTGGCATCTGAAACTCAGCTAAGCATTCATAATGACCCAGCTGTAAGAACACACTTGAGAAATGTGAACAAAAACTCTAACGGAACTGCTAACTCTGTTAGCTTCAGTCTGTTTATTTTAATATTTAAAGGACAAAGATCATGACATGTAAACCAAACTTATACATTCTTTAAGACTCTTTCTGTCAACTCAATAAATTTGTGACCCCCACATTGCAAGTCGCCCTTGGAACAATGAAAATGAGGTCTTTTTGAACTCGGCAAAAATTTCAAATGGGCCTTCTGAGCTTGGTTTTCCTGGCTTTGTGATTCATACCCTGTCCACTTCCAGATAGGAAGAATGTAATCTGTCAGAAATCTGGTTGGAACCTCCACATCCAGGTAGGGGCTGCCATTTATAAAGGTTTCTGGAGTTGGTCAAACTCTTCAAAAATATGGCCCCTTGCCTCTATCATTATGTTTTCCTTCTTTCCTCACTATTCTAGAATGGAGCCTGTAGCCTTTGACAAGGTTCCTTTAAATTTAAAGTCTTCAACTGACAAGTGCTGGTCATCATTGGGCCTACCTGCTCTGATTGATTGGAAAATCACAAAGCACAGTGCTGATATCATATTTGAGTTATAAGCCATGGGAAAACGCCCTCTGTAGGCTTTTGGGTTTCTGACCAGTTGCTGGTTCACCCCACACTGGGCAAAAAAAAAAGGTCAAATAGTAAAAGATCTGCTTAATGACTCTCAAGGTTAGTCTCATAACTCTTTTCTGAATCACCTTAGTCACTTGAATGGACATATTACTGAGCATAAAAGTGAGTGGAATACTGCAGTATGGTGGCCTTCAATATGTTATGTCACAATATGATTTCTTGCATAAGGCATTCCCAAACTGAACCTCGTCTTGGTGATAAGGAAATGCCACTCGGATTGGAGTCTTTTTTTCAAACGAAGTGTGGAGCAAGGCATAAAAGCAGGAGGTACTTGTGCTGGAGGGCAGGTCATGTTTTCCCATGCAATTATGTTCTTCTCAGCTCATCACATATTCATGCATGGGTAGATCGCCACATTTAATGGGCAGGAAATTCTTCCCTCGGCCAGAACCTTCCAGGCTCCAACATCCAGGCACCCTATTTAACAGTCACCTAGACAGCACTTCATTCTCTACAACCCAGGAGGATCCCTTAGCCTCTCATCACTCCATTCATTCCTGGAGATGCCAGAGACCAGGCAAAAAAATGGCACTATACTGTCACAATGCCTCCCTAGAGATTTTCCTGAAGGCTGCTCGCAATTGATTTTCCCTTTCGATGGCAAGAAGAAGCTATCTGACCTATGAAGGGAATGAATAAAAATAGTAATATGGCATAAAGATAAGCGAATGATGCAGTGGACATTTCACACTAGGCATCGCATAATCAAAATAATGTTCCTAAATTATGTTCCAAGAATGATATTAATGGATTAAATATTGTGGGGACTGTGCAAACAATTTCATAAAAAGTGCTGCAGGAAGAGAAGGCTCAATATCAGCACCACAGTTTGTTTCTCCCCCCATGAGGTTACTTGTAGTTACAACCTAATAAGAACAAAATCTATTTAATATGGAAACAAGGTTATTCACCTCAATCATGTCAACCCATTCTCGTACATTGAGGAAACTCTTTTCACACGTGATATCATACAGCAATAAAACACCGTCTGCGCGCCTGAAATAGGATTTGGCAATACTTCGAAATCTGAAAAATAAACAATAAGATCACGGCATCATTTCTCTGCTAAACATTTCATTTTCTTAAAAAAGTAGTACATTGTTGGACAGATATGTTTCTATGTTGGACTGATAGGTTTCTAGTGCCATCAACACATAATCAATAATTAAATTTTCTTTTCTTTGGCAATTGTTTATGTTCACCAAGGAGAGGATTGTAAACCAATTTCAGGAACCTACACTGCAAAATTTAGCTCTGCGGTGCCTGCAGTTTCAGCGCTTCATATATTGCATGCGTGCAATGCTGCGTGAACTACTCCAGGTAACATTTTGATGTTGGACATTAGGAGAGTTTTCAGAAGTACATAGAGTTGGTAGATTGGGACATTAGTCAGAGTGTCATGCTGACTGATGCCAGTGATGCCATTATTGATCTCTGTGCTCCAGCTAATGCTCTTTTAAACACACATCACCACTCAGTGCATTCACGCAGTGCTATTTGAAAGGGGTCACAACAATATATGAATGTACCAACACCAAATGAACTGCAACTCACCAGCAAGAACAACTAAGAGGATCTGAATGTTAAGGTGCTAGTTAAAAATTCAGTCATGGAGCCTATAGTTACAAGCATCCTTGGCCTGCAGCATATAAGGGAGATGGAGCAAGGCAGCAGGGAAGAAAACAAGCTGCTTACTGACAGAGGAACAGGAATGGGAGAGCACAGGTGGATTTTCATGGAGTTGGAGAGATTCTATGGAACACAATTCACACATGAATTCCACGGGACTCAATTCCAGGATTCCCTATGCTGTGTCTCCAATTTTCAACAGTGAAGATTAACGGTGCAAGCTGGTTCAGATCGCAAGCCCCATCCTGAACTCCTGACATGGTTAAGTGTAGGGCAAAGCTTGACACAGAGGGTATGGGGGCATAAGATGGCATAAGTTGGCAAGGAGTGTGTGTGGGAGCTAAGAGGGTGTGACAGCTGTCATTGTTACAACTGATACAGAGTCCCAGAGCATTGAGGCAGGTCATTTACCCAACCCTCCTCAGCACATTGTAGCCCCCGTTGTTTACTCTGAACTCCTTCTGGGGACAGAAGACCCAACTCAAGCAAGCACCCACCTCCTTGAACAAAAGTCCCACATTTGCTCGCATTTTCTCCTGAGGTAAGCATTGTGAGCCAAGAAATTTCCCAGGCTGCTACCTGCTTCAAAGCTGAAAATCTAACTGAATGTGTGATGATTTTGCTTCACAACAGAGGTATTTATGGAAATCTGACACCTTTGCAGACACAACAGTAACCTCAGAGCACCAGTGACATAGGCACTGTTGATAGCTGTGAAGATGAGCATGGCAATGAACTTCTTAGCATTGGGATCCTCCCAATCTGGAGAAAGGGACATCTTTTAACTTCTCCCACACAAATACAAAAGCAAAATACTGCAGATGTTGGAGATGCAAAATAAAAACAGGAAATGCTAAAGATACTCAGCAGGTTAAATCTGTGAAGGGAAACAGTGTTAATATTTCAGGATGATGGCCCATCATCAAAAAGGAACTACTGAACTGCGATGTAGTCTAAGCAAATGATAGATTGAGGGGAAAGAAGTACAAGAGGGAAGACTGTGTTTGGATGGATGACGGGAAAGATTAAATAAGCAAAGTGAAGCAATAATGAAAGAGATTAGAGAAAAGCATCAGCAAAAAGGAACAAAACAAAGCCAGCAGTTATAATCTAAAATCTTTTCATTCAATGTTGAGTCCAGAAGGTTGCAGAGTTCCAAGTCAAAACATGAGGTGATGTTTCTCAAACATGCATTGAGCTACAGTGCACCAAGAACAAAAAAGGCAGATGAGAGTAAGGTGGGGAATTGAAATGACAAGTGACAGGATACTCAGAGCCATGCTTGTGGACTGAACAGAGGACTAGAGAGTGAGTTCAACAATTTTAGATCTGGCTCCACTTGTTTTGTTTCTTTTTCTTCCCTTGCTTGACATGGCATCTGGACATTGTTGTTCAGCTATTCACACCTCATCTGGAAATATTCTTTGTCTCTCTATCTGTCCCATATGGCCTTTGCCCAATGAAATCTTTTGTCATTTTTAATCTCTTTTGCCATCCACTCTATCACCAACTTTTACATTTGTTCTCCTTCCCCTCACCCCCTTTCACTTGCACAGTATCTATTACTTGTCTATCTTACCGGAGTACTGATGAAGGGCCATCAAACTGAAACATTATTTCCCTTCATAGATGCTGCCCGAGCTGCTGAGTATGTTTTTTAGATCTAACATCCCTCAACTTGTTGACTACAAACATTCAGGGAAAGGCAAACTGTTATTACACCAATAGAGTAAGTACATTGTGTTCTCTCAGACCAAAGAGCAGGCAGAGTATGCATGTAGCTTTGCCAGGACAGCGAGCTTCCCCCATTGTGTAGGCTGTCAATGACAGCCTATGTTTTGCAGGGAATGCAACTAAATGAAGAGATAAAACACAAATGCATTGAAAAACAATGTTTTTATGCCTCTTGAACCCACTAGCACTGGAGCGGTGTTTCTTCCAGCTAAAGAAAAATAAATAAAAGTTGTTTTTTCCATGATCGCAAGACAGGTAGCATCCTTATACTTTTCTGCTTACTGCCAAGGCAGGAGACAATGTTTCAGATCATAATTAACCCTCTTTTGTTTTCCATACCTTACAATGATAGCCTGTTGAAAAGCTAACCAACAGATGAATAAAATGTGCATGCAACATGTACATTTGGCTTTAATGAATGTGTAGTTTTGTCACTTTAAAACTTGCTCATTTCTAATACCTCTCTTGACCTGCAGTGTCCCATAACTGCAACACCGTTCGTTCTCCATCAACAATCAGAGTTTTCATCTGAAAATCAACTCCTGTGTGAAAAATAAGAAGGACATGGAAATAAGTAAATGCTGCTCTCAGTGACAACCAAAAGTGCAGAGGCAATTTCTTGCTCATATTTTGACACTACACAGCCACATTTATATATTCTCAAGACAAGGGAGGCAGTGGTGGCATTGTGGTAACAGTAATGGAATCACAATCCAGAATTCCAGGTTAATGTTCTGGGGCATAACAGTTGGTGACATTTGAATTCAAAGAAGACCACAGAAGCTCTGCTGATGGTCTGGCCAATAACATCCATCACCCAACATCATTAAAACACACGACCGAGCATTGGTGCTGGAGCGTTCAACTCTTCACAATTTACATAAATGATTTGAATGAACAGACTGACGGTATGGTAACTAAATTTAATGATGACCCAAAGATAGGTAGGAAAATGAGTTGTGAAGTGGACATAGGAACCTACAAAGATATATGTTTAGTGAGTGGATGCAGATCTGACAAATAGAGTACAATGTGGAAGTGTGTGAAATTGTCCATTTTGGGAGAAGGAGTTAAAAAAACAAGCATATCATCTGAATGGTGAGAGATTGCAGAGCTCTGAGATGCAGGGAGATCTGAGTGTCCTAGTGCATGAATCACAGCAGGTTATGCCGGCACATTAAGTAATTAGGAAAACTCATAGAATATTAATGGTTTATTGCAAGGAGAGGTAAGTGTAACGTGAATATGCAAGAATGTAGCATTAGGGTTAAAATCAGATCAGCCATGACTTTACTGAATGGCGGAGCAAGGTCAAAGGGTTGAGAGACCTACTCTTATTCCTTGTTTGTACATTCAGAACTCATTCAAGGGCTTTTACAGTAAGACAAACAGCATTTAGGGAGGCAGGGGCATAGTGGTAATGTTACTGGTATAGTAGTCCAAAACCCCAGATTAATGTTCTGGAGACATTGGTTCAAATCCCATCAAAGCGCATCATGAAATTTAAATTTAATAAGATCTGGAAAGAAAGGAAAGCTATGGCAACTATTATCGATTGTCATAAAAACGCATCTGGTTCCTAATGTCCTCAAAGGGAAGAAATCTGCCATCCTTACTTGTTCAGACCTATGTATGAGACCAGATAAGAAGCAAGGTGGTCAACTCTTTAGTAACCTCTGAAATGACCCAGCAAGTCACTCTGTTGCACAACAATTAGGGATAGTCAATAAATCCTGGACTATCCAGCGATGCCCACATGTCATGGAACAAAAAAATAAAAAAAACAGGCATTTTCATGAGTTCAAAAATTTCCCAGACCACAGCATTTGAAATGGGACAGGTGGTGTCACCTCAACATTTCAATCATTTGGAAAAGTGTAGATTCACTGTCAATAACTTCTGGCTTTTCATGTTATTTCTTCATGTGTGAACTTCCAAAGACACTGATCCAGTGGAATGATGATGGCAAATATTAACATTTTCTTTGTCATTAGCACTGCAAAAGATGGGCCATTATCTGCTAATTAATCCTATTGCTATTTGTGGATCTTCATTGCGTATCAATTAAGTGTTTCATTTCAAAAATACTTCAAAGGTGACTAGGCATTTTGGATGTTAAACAGTTCTGAAATGCACTATATAAACACAATTTCTGAAATATAAATGACACTTTACAGCTTTAAAGAAATTAAGAAATACAAAGGCCCAAAAAATATTTGTAATGGCCCTGTAGTTGCAAAGGTGATTTAGAAACTGTATGAGGTGTTCCATGATTACTTTCTTGAGACTTTACAAGAAAGAACCTCCATCTGTCTCCAATGACCAGTGAATCCCGACAAAAGTGTTGCCATTTCCTTGTTCTTAGTCAGATATAAGTTTGAATGCTGGTACCCTCAAAATCAGCTGTAAATGACCCCTCTTAGGCTTGTTGGGAAAAGCACAATAATTTAATGTTTTCTTTTGAATTCTGTAACAACTGGACCAGTCAATGAAGGGGTGTTTCTGAATAGAGGGACTAGTGGTGCAGGTTCATACTTCCTTGAAAGTGGCATCACAGGTTGGCAGGGTGGTGAAGGCGGCGTTTGGCACGTTTGCCTTCATTGGGCATTCTGTATAGAAGTTGGGGCATCATGTTGCGGCTGTACATTGGTGAGGCCACTTTCATAATACTGCATACAATTCTGATTACCCTGCTATGGGAACAATGTTGTTAAACTAGGAAGGGTACAGAAAAAGATTACAAGGATGTTGCAGGGACTGGAGGGTTTGAGTTATATGGAGAGGCTGAATAGGGTGTGACATTTTTCTTTGGAGCATCAGAGGCTGAGAGGTGACGTTGTAGAGATTCATAAAATAATGAGGGGCTTAGATAAGGTGAACAGATAAGATTTTTTTTCTCCAAGGGTGGGGGAGTCCATAGCTAGCGGCTATAAGTTTAAGATAAGAGGGAAAAGATTTAAAAGGGACCTGCACAGAATGAGCTGCCAGAGGAAGTGGTAGAGGGTGGTACAATTACAACATTTAAAAAACATTTGGACAGATACATGAATATGAAAGGTTTATAGGGATAAGTGCCAAATGGGGGCAAAATGGACTAGTTCAGTTTAGGATACCTGGTCAGCATGGACAAGTTGGATCGAAGGGTCTGTTTCCATGCTGTATGACTCTATGACTCAGTCAGCTCTTCCTAGGCTTATGCTGGGAGCAGGGTTCAACATCAACTTGAGAAGATTGAGCCAGCAAAGTTTATACAATCAAAAGCATACTCCATACCAAAACACGATCCTAGTGTAACTATCAGGACTATGTCGATTTTCAGGGCCAGAAACAACTCATGAACAAGTAGAAATTGATTCATTGGACATTCTGGCAAATGCTTCTAAAATAGCATCTAAATGCTAATGCAGCTGACTGACAATGGAACCACAGCAGGAGGAAATAAAGAGACGCAAGGTGGTTAAACTAATGAAACATACCTAAAGTGGCACTGGTGTTCCCACGAAATTCATTTTTGCAGAGTCGAAGCAGAAAGCTTGACTTGCCCACGGCTGCATCTCCAGCAAGCACTACCTTGAAAGCCTTTTCTGACTGAGGATATTTGAAGCTCCCAGCTGTGCTAGTAGGCTGAAAAAAGGAAACATTTCAATCAGAAACCACTGTGTTCAATTCAAAACACATTTATGAGTTCTGAATAGAGCAAAATAAGTGCTTTTGACCTTAGGGTAAATCAATCAATCAGTCTGCTTGCTAATTCACATGTTGCTCACATATATTCAGATGATTGGATAGTCTGATTGGAAAATATATTTCTCTACATTCCTAGTTTTTTTTAGAAAAGTATTAAATGCAAGTTATGACATGTCAATCCATTTAAATAAATGAGGTTAGAGACCTAATGGAAGAAACAAAATCAGCTCTTAAATGGTGTTATTGCTAATTTATTTAATACCTGCAGCCATAATTTAAGAATCTATTTTATGGATTTATTTTTCTCCCTCCTTCTGAGGCCACTCATTTATACTGATGGATGTTTTTACTTCCATAACTCTCATTTTGCACATTCATCAAAACAGATATTGTTCATACATGAATGGGAGGAAAGGGGTAGAATTTATGTGACAATATTCTTGATCGCTGGCCAAAACTTTCATTTTTGTCTTTCGTTTTTGTTCTCCTAGAGGACTCTTATTGAAATTATGGTAGAGTAAAGGACAGAAATTAGTGGTGCCATTATCTACAGGAAATGTAACTACAGAAAGAGAAAGGATAGGGAGTGGAGTGTGAGTGGGAATAAGAGCATATTAAATTTCACACCAGACTCTGGTCTTACTTCACCATTTCAGCCACAGTCACTGCAAATCGGATATGAAAGTAAAGAGATTCCAGCGTCCAGGAGAAAACAATGCTAAGTCTATATCAGCTAACTCAATACTAGACACAGATGGATTTGAAGTATCCCTGATGTCACTGTGAATTCACTATTCTTTTAAAATGAGGATTATAAATAAAGTCTAAATAAATACAAATCAATACAACCACTTGATTTGTATTAACATGAAAGAAAAGGAACTCACAGAGGTGAAGTATTATTTAGAAATATGTAACAAGTATTACCTGTGGTGAAAATGCAGAGATACAGCGCCGCGAAGAGGAGACTCCAGAATTGCTCCGGCTTACTGCTTGCGAGGGTTTCCAGTCCAGAACAGTATTCGTACTGTCCTGGGTAAAAGCCATCTCATCCTGCATGTCAAACTCCTACAAAGAATTTGCAAATATATTGTAACCCACAGAGCTAAATGTAGGAGACCACCTCCACTCACTCTAACAATAATCATCAGTAACTACCATAGCATCTGCTTCTAGGCAAACAATAAGACAAATAACAATTCGCTTTCGTGAAATTAGGTCAGAAAAATTATTGGCTAGGACACCAGAACTGCACTGCTTTTCATCAAATTGTAGCAGAGGATCTTTTACTTCTATCTGACAGAGTAGATGGATCCTGTGTTTACTGCTTATCTTAAAAAATAAACAGCACTTTTGACAGGACAGCACTGAAGACTCAGCCTTGGTAATGTGCTTGAGTCCTGGTGTGCGGCTCAAGTCCACAGTTGACTGACTCAGAGGTGAAAGTGCTACCATCTGCCAAGACTGACATCTGATGAGCTTTTTGCCCTTAATTTCATTCCAGATGTTTCAATGCAGTAGCCATCCTCTTAACAGTGTGTCCAGTGCATAGGGAATACACAGTGCTAAGGGCATGCAAGCATTCTCACAGTTGCAGTTTTTCAGATGCCTTTTACTAATACATGTAAAGAAATCCTGTTGCAACACTAAAAAAAGTGAAAATTTATTCAATACTCCAACCAATATTCAATGCACATATGACTCAATCATAATAGATGATTGGTTTATTTATCTCACTATTGTTTGTGTGCCTTTTTAGGTGTACATGTGTTGATGAATTTACCCTTAATGTACTGTATCCATTGAGTAGTACAAAGATTTTTGCCTGTGATTCCTTAGAGTAAGGTAACCATCTCAATCAATAGCAACTAGTGAGGTGGGTAACAGAAGATGATCAGAAGGAGATTTAAGGTACCACTGGCCACTGTAATGCAGTTTTGGGAGCAATCTGAAAACAGATTACCTGTCCTTCAGGCCCAAAGAAAGGGAGCGGTATGGAGAAAGTAAAAGGGGACAGCAAACAGAAAGGTACATTATAATTAAGTGTGGAAAATCTTAGTAACATCTTGAATGTAGCATCAAAAATGAGTTAATTATCAGTACAGTACTTTGCAGCCAGTTTCTACAGAGTAAATTATGAGTACAAAAGAACCTGGGAAATCTGTGCTGTAAACTGTTCAATTCCACAACAGTTCATTTCTATTATGCATGACATACTTTCTTAATACTCAAAGAAAGTGAAGCTTAGGAAGATAGGAAGAGTATGCTATTCAGCTCCTTGAGGCTATTTCACAATTTAATTAAGTTAATGCCAATCTGTATCTTGACTCTATTTACTGGCTTTTGTACCATTTCTCTCGAAAACTTTACCTAACAAAAGTCTTCTGATCACAGTCTCAACATTTTTGGACGTGTTTTTTCCTTATTTTAACCATCTTTTGTGCAAAAAGATAGTCCCTGATTTAACTCCTTTTTCTCCTGCTTTAAGATTGCACCCATTGTGCTGGATTCTCCACCTGAATCTGTATCTGCACAAGTAGATATACTCAGCATTTTAAAGACTTTTCTTTCATTCACCCTTCCAGCTTCTAATCTATTCTTTCATTCACCTTTCCAGCTTCTAATTCAACACAACACAGATGAAGGAGGATCCTGTGGATACGTTGTACTTAGATTTCCAGAAGGCAAGTGACAAAGTGCCACATCTAAGGTTGCTATGTAAAATAAGCACTTGTAGTTTAGTGGGTAAGATATTAACACAGGTAGAGAAATGATTTACCTAACAGGAAACAGATTCATTTTCACATTGGCAAGATGTGATTAGTGGTGTGCCACAGGGATCATTGGCGCAGCTTCAACTAGTTACAAATTTTCTCAATGACTTGGATAATAGGATCAAATGTACAGTAGCTAAATTTGCTCATAAGACAAACATAGGTAAGAAGGTAAATTGTGAAGAGAACACAAAGAGTCTGCAAGTAGGTAAAGTGAGTAAGCAAAAAACTTGGCAGAGAGCTATTTTACACACCATTCACATTCATTTGCAGGATGTGGGTGTACTTACTGCCCATGCCCCAGGGGGCAGCAAAGAGTCAATCATATTGCTGGAGTTACATGTAGGCCAGACTAGGAAAGAGCAGCAGTTTCTTTTCCTAAAGTACATCAGTGAACCAGATGGGTTTTTCCTGACAATGGACAACAGTTTTACAGCCACAGTTAGATTCTTAATTCTAAATTTTTATTGAATTCAAATTTCACCATCTGCCATGGCAGGATTTGAACCCAGGTCCCCAGAGCATTACCTGGATCTCTGGATTAATAGTGTCATTATAATACTACAAGGACCATCACCTCCCTTAAAGTGGGAAAACTGCCTGCTTTGACAGGAAGACCAGAAAAGCCACATATTATTTAAATGGTAAGAGATTGCAGAATGCTCTGGTAGAGAGGGTTCTGAGTGTCCTTTTACATGACACAAAAAATACATAGAGGTAGAGCAGGTGATTAACAAGGCAATGGGATATTGTTGTTTATTGCAAGGGAATGGTAAAAAACAGATTGCTGGATGTGTACCTTGCCTTTAAGAATTCTATCTGTTGTATGTATACAAGGTTGTGACTCTTTCCAGTAGTTAGTCTGCTCTTGGTTTTGGAAGCTGCACACAGAAATCAGTTAGCTGTAATGTCTGTTCATAACACATGATGTGTTTTAATGTTTTAAATAAACTAATCCACACAGTTGATCAGTCCCTAATGAGAAATTGATATCAGGCCATTATCATTAACATGACATGATGAACAATAATGGAAAACATCATGCTGATGAAGCCTATCATATTGGCACAGTCAGTGAGCAATTTAATCTACAGGCAAAACACAAGGTCAACAGACTTAAATCAGGCCAAAATGACAGAGCTCAGTGTCTTTGTTCAGTGCAGTGTCAGAGAATTGAAAACGTAGATTCCTTGCAAGCAGACCAGTCCTGGTTGAGAGGCCTGTTTAACAACTAATTGAGAAAGGTAAGTGATCAGAGTGTATGCTGGATTAATAGCAAGCAAATGCAGGTTAAAGGGATATTGTCAGAACAGCAATAAAATTCCCTAGCTTACACTGGAACAAAGCAAACCTCCTAACAGAATTCAACGTATTTGAACAACACTCAGAACTGTCATTTCTAGATTCAGTGTGTCCAATGCAGCCAAACAAACCAATAACGTTTGCTTAGCAATTGGGAACAAAATCCTATACAGACTTAACGTGTCAGAACTAACAGCTAAAAGACCCCTAAAAGATCTGGAACACAATAGAAGGCCAATTCAGAGGTTAATTAAACCCCTATATTCAGTAATTAGAATTCAGGTAATTTAGACCAGCAGTCCACAGAATCCACGGACCACTCATGACCAAATACAGTGAAAAGGGCTCATATGAGACTCTTCAGATAAAAAGCTAGGCAACAGAATTATTCAGCTGGTGATGCAGTCGTCCTCACAGAAGCTTTCCAGAAAGATTTGTTAGAAAAGCTAAACATGTCCTGCATCACAAAGTGTCAAAGAATGTGTGTCCTCCTTCAGGCACGAAGGATATACCAAGCTTTCAATCAATTTTGTAAGGTATGTTGCAGAAAGGCCACTGACAGAGGCAGAATGAAGACTAATGCAGCCACAAAGAGCTGTGCACCAACCCTAAATACACCATGCACAAAGGGTATCTTCAAGCTCCAATAAAGTCTGCCAAGCATCCCGCTAGAGATGTATACACAAAGTGACCAAAAAACCAGAATCTGACAATGTACATAATAAAACAAAGCATGTTGAATACACCTTTCATGCCATCAATCTCATGGAGAAATTAATGGCATCACACCATCTGAAATGTTTGCAAAAATTCAAGTTGTCTGCCTTAAGAAACTGGTGACTATTAGTAACTGGATAAGAGTAACACGGAGGTAATTTACTAACTCTCTGAAATTAAGAAAAAAACTTGCACCACACGTGGAAAACCATGATGAAACCTACAGTAAAACTTTCAACATACAATGATTCATCAGTTCCATGTGTGAGATCAATAGTGCTGGAGTGCAATTACAATCAATCTGCCTGGACATCCATTATTCTCCATCATAGACACTGCTGGGCCAATGGCAGATATACCAGCATGCTGTGACCTAACCCTGGTCACCATCCATGGAATTAGTCAGACATCAGATGATAAATCAATCTCAGAAACTTTGCGTACCATTTCAATTCACAATTTAACACTAAAATAACCAGAATGTTCTGATAAAATTGAAAGTTTAGGAGATAGACGCCTCACAGAAAGGTTGAAGAGCATACATACTGAACAAAAGCTAGCCAATCGCATTTGCTTCAGATGTTCCGTCTGCAGTGCAGTCCAACTACTCAAACATTGAATCGGAAACATTTGCCTTAGTTTGTGGAATCATACATTTTCATACCTATCTATTCAACAAAAAGTCTGTGGTGGAGACTGACAACAAATCACTGCCAAGATTACACTGTTTCCCAATAAACAGCCAAGGTTACAACTATGAGATTAGGTTCAAAACAGGTAACTTGAGAATCACAGCTACCTTTACCTGGGTTAAAAAGAAGATATGCCCTTGGATCTGCAAGTTGACTTCATTGGCATTGAACTTTAAGATGTTTTCCAAATTTACCTGATACATTGTGCACAATGTAAATTACAAGAACCAAAAGCTTCCAAACCACAGAAACTATGGTAAAACATCATTTTAGGGAGGAATGATTCCATTCAGCATGCCCATAAACAAGATATATGCCAGGGGACTGGAGCACAGCTAATGTGGTTCCTTTTCAAGAAGGGTAGTTGAGATAAACCAGGGAATTTCAGACCAGTGATCATCAGTGGTAGGGAAACTAAGGAAAAAATTCTGGACAGACTTAATCTCCACTTGGAGAGGCAAAGTTTAATCAGGGATAGTCAGCATGGCTTCATTAGAGGGAGGTCATGCCTAACAAATTTGACTAAATTTTGAGGTGGTGACCAGATATTTAGATCAGGGTAATGCTGTTGATGTAGTTCTTACGGATGTCAGCAAAACCTTTGGCAAGGTCCCACATGGGACATTGATACAGAAGGTAAAAGTACATGGAATCCAGGGTAACTTGGATCCAATCCAAAATTGGCTTAGTGGTAGGAGACGCAGGGTGGTGGTAGAAGACAGTTTGTTTGAATAGAGGCTGATGGCCAGTGGTGTCTCACTGGGATCAGTGCAGGGTCCCTTATTGCTCATGATATATATAAACGATATAGATGAGAATGTCAGGGGATGATAAGTAAGAATGCTGATGACATGAAGATTGTCTGAATGGCTAATAGTCAGGAAGAAGGTCTTAGCTTAAAGGAACATATGGACAGGTTGATCAGATATGCAGATCAGTGGCAAATGAATTTAACCCTGAAAGGTGTGAGGTGATGCACTTCGGAAGTTATAACAAGGCAAGGGAACACTCAATGAATGGCAGAGCACTAGAAAGCTCATAGGAGCACAGTGATCTTGGGTTGCTTGTCCACAGATTCACTGGACATGGCAAGACAGGTTCGTGGGGTAATTAAGAAGGCATACAGGACACTAGCTTAGATTACAAGAGCAGGGAGATCATGTTGGTGCTGTATAAAACTTTGGTTAGGCCACAGCTGGAGCTCGATATGCAGTTTTGGTCACCTCATTCTAGGAAGGATGTGACTGCAGCAGAGGGGGCACAGAGGAGATTCACCAAGACGTTATGTGGGATGGAGCAGTTCAGCTATGAAGAGAGGCTGGAGAGATTCGAGTTGTTTTCTTTAAAGCAGGGGAGGCTGAGAGGGGACAAGGCAGAGGTGCTTAAGATTTTGAGGGACATGGACAGGGTGGATAGGAAGTAGCTGTTCGCCTTAGTTGAAAGGTCAACAACCAGGGCGCATAATTTTAAGGATATAGGGGATTAGAGAAAACATCTTTCACTCACAGAGTGGTGGGAATCTGGAATGCACTGCCTGGGAGGGCTGTGGAGGCAGGAACCCTTACAAGCTTTAAAAAGTCTGTGGATGAGCACCTGACATGTCATAACTTTCAAGGCTAAGGGCCAAGTGCTGAAAAGTGAGATTAATGTCGATAGGTCAACTCTGACTCAATTCACCAAAGGGCCTTCTCTATGCTGTATGATGCTATGACTCTAAGTGAGATCATATTGGCCTTTTTGGGATGAACTAACATTTCCTAAGGAGATGTTTTTAAAGAAAGGCTGGTCTCATATCAGAATTTTTGTGACCAGATATAATCAACAACTTCATTATACACAAGGGCATAGATCAGATGAGAATTGCAAGAGTTTCAATACATTGGCCAGGTTGAGGCATTGAAATCCTTGTTATGGACTGTGAGATTTGTCAAGGGCATACGACAAGTTTTAGTAAAGAACCACGAACACTCTATGTGATCCCTGCCCATCTTTGGTCCAAAATTGCACCCGTCTTTTTTCATGTTCATGGAAATGGCTGCATTGTCATAAAGTTGACTACTTTACCAAATACTCCATCACTTGTCAGTCACACATGCTCTAAGCTCCTATCAATTCATACTACTTCTACACATTATCTTGGGACCCACAGACTAGCAGAATTCATGATTTGCATGGTCAAAGATCTAATCTTCACATACAGACAAACGAAAGAAGGCCAACTTATTGCAATGCTACATTTGAAAGCAACATATCAGATCGCAACCATTCCATAACCAGCAGCGCTCCCAAATGGCAGGCCAGTGACAACCAATTCACTGGCTCATAAAAAACTCTTTTTGAAACTCAAGAGAAGATTGTAAAAATGCGAGAGAAGGTGACTAATGTGCATGATAAAAATGTGAGTACAAGGTTGCCAAAATCACAAGTGGGACAATACGTACACATTCAGAATCCCATAGAAAGTTTATGGAAAAAGTCGAGGTGACAAGAATGTGTTCAGAGCAAAGACCTATAAGGTCGTACACATAACAGCACAAAATTAAGATGAAACAGAGGACTGTCCCAGTCTTGCTGCATCATGTTAAGTAACGAAACATAAACAGGAATGACAAACAATATCATTGCTGACAATAGGAAACCATTTGCTCCTTCAGACGTTATGAGATCTGGAGGTATTATTTTAGCTATTACAGAGACTCTTAGGCTTACTTGTAAATGTAAAGACTTAAACTTCCTTGTTGAAAGGCGCGGGAAGTTGTGCATATACCTAAACTTTGAGAAAGTGCACCTTTAAAGAATTTCACGTGTTACGTGTATACAATACTGCAACTGGCAATTCGGCTGCTATGGGTCTGCAAGTTGCAGAAAGAGAAGTCAATTGGTTTGCTGTAATGTCTGCTTTATACGATGTTTTACTGTTTTAAATAAACACACCCATGGAGATAATCAATCCGTGATGAGTGACTGAATAATAAGCTATTTTTGTTAACATAAAAATAAACACTTTGTGCAGTCCTACGGGGTTTTGGTGAGGCGAAATCTGCGGTGTTGTGAACAGCTTTCGTCTCCTTATTTAAGAAAGAAGTAAATGCAATAGAAGCAATTCAGTGAACATTCACTCAGAGGGCCGTGAGACTTTGCAACTGTCTTCACCATTCAGTATTTGAGGCAGGTCATTGAATACTTTTAAGGCAGAATAAATTCTGGACTAGCAAGGAAGGCAATAGTTACCAGGGATAGGAATGATTAAGAAGCTGAGGCCACAATCAGATCAACCATGAACCAACTGAATGGCAGACCAGACTTGAGGGGCTGAATGGCCTACTCCTGTTCCTAATTCATTTATTCAATTTTACGTGGCAATATAACAAATTGATTTGCCTAAAAAACAGAGATGTGAGCTCACAGAAGCAGAGTACTATTTAAAAATTTGTAACAGAAGCTACCTGATGTGAACATGCAGCACTATAGCCATGTGACAAAGAGGCTCCAGAACTGCTCCGGCTCACTGCTTGGGTTGGTTTCCACTCCAGAACTGTACCTAGACTGTCTTGACTAAAAGCTACTTCATCCCGAATTTCAGGCACCTACAACAAAATCACAAATACACTTTCACTTACAGAGCCAATGACGGAAGGCCAGCATTGCTGAATCTTATTATCAAAAACCAGAGAGCAACTGATTTGAGACTCTGGACTCTTGTCTATGTGTTGACCAATGTACTGTAACAACTTTTTAATTCCAAATATTAATCACCTGATGCATTTAAGTGTATTCAAAAGATCTCAGCCTAATAACATTACATTATTAGCATTCTTTCAGATGCAGCAATCATCCGTTCTCCTTCCTCCCATACAAGTGGACAAGCTCTGCTCTGATGGGAGGACACTGTACTCAAACCAAATGCAATTGCTGCAGCTGAAGTGCAACAAACAGAGCAAAATATTCTGTAACTGTATTGATCAAACTGGTATTTAGCAACCAGATAGTCAAACATTTAAAGAATTGTAAAATTAGACACTTACATGGTTAATTGTTTTAGACCTGATCAAAAATACAGAATCCAGAATTCATTTATTTCTCCAAAGAGGAATCATTCATTTTTGTGCAGGTCAATAAATGCAGTTCACAATGTACCAAAGATTTGCATCAAAATGTCACACAGCTTGTTTGGTTGCTTACATCTGTGTCAGAAGCATCTCCTCCAAAGGCCTCTTGCGCACAATGCGCTCTTTCAAAATGTCTTTGATGTTTGAATTCACCCTCAGAATCATATTCATTTGAATCTCTCATTGTAGACATGCCACTGTCAAAGCAACTTTCAGTTAAGCTTTCAACTTCACAACTTGCTCTGCGCATAGGGTCACATACAGCCAGTGACTCCATGTCTTCATCTAAGAAAGAAGATCTGGATGACCTATTGGAAACAACAATGAAAATCCAATGCTTTAGTTTGTCAGTGTTGTTGAAGTTTGGAGTCAAAGGAATTAGATCCTGCAAATGTAATGTAACCCTCTTTAACTGAAGGAATCATTGAAACCAACAGAGCAGTCAGTTTTCCAGATGTTTGTGAGAAAATTTTAGTTTCATCTCATTGCAACTTTGACTTGAACACTCCCAAATTTCTACTGAGGGAAAAGAAGTGCACTTAAAGGCTGTTGAGCATTGAGGCAGAGGACCTTTTTTAATACATAAGGAGTGGGAGGGGAAAGAGGCTACATTTTCAAATCCAGACATAGGCCCGAAACGTCAGCCTTCCTGCTCCTCTGATGCTGCATGGCCTACTGTGTTCATCCAGCTCTACACCTTGTTATCTCAATGGAAAAATACTGATGCCTGTCCAGATAAGATTACCACATGCTGTGTTTTTAAAAACATGCTTCAATTTATTTCGGGTGAACAACAATAGAAAAGATAAATTTATCTGGAAACATTTGCACTTGAAGTGAATTTGTTCATCTGTGAATATACATTTCGGTAATTCTCTCCACCCTTCCCCCCTCCACCTGTACAACTTATGTAGACAGCCTGGAAATTTTGCTTCATTTTTATTTTGCAAGAACAGTAAAAGCTTAGGAAGCAACACATTTTGGCGTTTGTTGACAGTACACAAAGTAGGAAATAGGGTTCTGAACTTCAGTATCTGTAAAAAGCACATTTTTATTCATTCTTAGAACGTGGGTGTCACTGGCAGGCCAGCGTTTATTTCCCACCCCTAATTATCCACAGGGCAGTTAAAAATCATCCACATTGCTGTGGTTTTGGAGTCATATGTAGGCCCAACCAGGTAAAGTGGACAGATTTCCTTCCTGAAAGGATGTTAGTGAATCTATAATGATTATAGGCCAGGCAGTATCACCCTCTGAAGAAGGGAACCGACCCAAAACGTCAACTTTTCTGCTTCTCTTGGAAGGTGGTGGGTGTCTAGAATTTGATTCCTGATTGGATAGTGAAGGTAAAAACCTTCAAATCATTTAAAAAGTTACCTAAAGCACTGTAAGGTGTAAGACTGTGGGCTAGGTTCTAAGCGGTAGGATTAAAATGTGTGGCTGGGTTTTTTTTTTCTCTTTCAGCTGATACAGACAGGCTGAGTTGAATAGATTTATTGTGCTGTAACTTTTCTTTGATACATACTCATAATTCAGGTTCAGCAGGCTGCATCTTTTTAGCAGGTTTTTAAGTTGAATACTTAATAGAGTTTCATTCTGCAAAATTGGTTCTAAAATGACTGCCTTGAATGTGTTTTTCTTATGGTTAATTGTAACAGGAATTGTTTAGTGTAAATTAACTTATCAAATGTATTCAATATGTCTTTAATATTTACTTAGGGTGTGGACATAGATCAGTAATCATGTTAATTATGATACAATCGCTACTTTATATAGTTCAAGAGACTGCTATGACGCTAAAGTTGAAGAATCGGTTGAAGGTTTTTTTCTTAATACATGATGACAAACTACAGGTCTCTTCCTGGTCTCAATATGTGTTCACGTACCACGCTTTATTATAAACTTGTTCTCTGTTTGCTGATCACAAATTTTATTTTTCTTGGTTTGTGATTAGCATTTTGGCGCACAAAGACTGATACCAATGTATTTATTGTAAATGGATTTTTAAATGCTGATTCTGTCTCGAGGGTGTCTTATCTTATTTTTAGTTTTAAGATTGGCCTAGATCAGAATAGACCTCCTATCCCCATTCTGAACTCACCATCATTTGGTAAAATATGGTCAGCAAGTAGGAAAAACAATGTGTTATATTTGGCACAACGATGTTGGAACAATTAGTTTTATTTTGCTCAGTGAAGGATGCTTGGGGGAGGGGTGGGGAAGACAAGTTAATGTTTTAACTTTTTTTTAAAGCACTACTCCTCCATCTCCCTATGTAATGTCACTGGATTAGTCATCTGGAGCCCCCAGGCTCTAGGGGAATGGGTCCAAATCCCACAACTGCAGCTGATAGAATTTGAAGTCAATTAATAAAAAAAAAATGTGGGCACTAAGATTAGAGATAGTAGGAACTGCAGATGCTGGAAAATCCGAGACAACAAGGTGCAGGGCTGGATGAACACAGCAGGCCAAGCAGCATCATAGGAGCAGAGAGGCTGACGTTTCGGGCC